CTAAGGCCTTTCTCCCACAGAGGCTTCTCTCACACTGAGGCCTCTCTCACTGAGGTCTGTTAACATTGAGGGGTCTCTCAGACTGAAAACTCCTAAACTACAGGCACACATCTATGGCAGGCATCCTCAGAGGTTGTGAGGTCTCTCACAACAACCCAGCAATTCCGGCCATGAAAGCCTTCGACAATAACTCATTCATACTAATATCACCGTAAGACTTTAGCCAATTTAGGATATTCTCAGGGCTCCATTTCTGTGGGCTGATGGCATAAATCCATACAAATAAATAAATAAAGAACCTTGCTGTCAACCTCTTAATTTGCCATGATGGACCAGCTGCCACAATGGACAACATACAATGAACTGAATATGAAAAGACTAAAGAAGAGCAATTCCACCAGATTCTGCAGTCAGAAGTTTATATGACTATCACAAAGACAAATGGACTGCACACTACTACAAACATTCCTTCTGAAACTTGGATCCTCATTTTGTAATTGTAATTCAGCTGGCCAGTTTGCAAGATACAGATTTGTAGTCTGGACAACTGGACAGATGCCTTCACCAGAGTTGAAACTGCTGCTAAATATTAAATTAATAACTCAAGACTTAACTAATTTTCTCAAATTTCCAGTAGACAGTCACATTTACACTTTATCCACCATTCATTAGGCGATCCCTCATTGTCCGAGTATGATGGCCTTCCAAATGAAGTGTCTTGGTGGTGGACACATAGGTGGACAAAAAAGGCTGAAGAAATCCAACACTTTGCAGATATCCATGATGCTCCAGGATATTTTAAAGCCACAAAGGCCGTCTATGGACCGAGAAACCATGGTATACACCCTCTACATTCATCAGATGGAACCAAACTTCTGAAAGACCAAAAAAACCCCAACAATTACACCAAGTTGGAAAGAGCGCTACCACAACCTCACGAATCACAGCTCCAACATGGCCAAAGTTCTCTCACAAATCCGACAACAACAAAGCAGGGATGAGCTTGCAGCACTGCCTAGTTTGGAGGATGTCAGCAACACCATCAGCCAACAAAAAAAACTAAAAATCCAGCGGACCTGACGGGATCCCTGCTAAAATCTGTAAAGAGTGTGGACCTGAGCTGATACAAAAACTCCACCAGCTCATTGAAAAAGTGTGGACTGAGAAAACAGCACGTAACACATCCAACCACTTGAGTCTTGGAGTAATTCAGTTGCACCCTGGTGCTGAGGGTGAAAATGCTGTGTTTGCATAGTATATATCAGAAACTAGATTAGTTTCAGCTGAAGGCAGTAGCCATCCTGTACCTGGTACCTCTCCAAAGCCTAAGTTCTTAAGAGCAAAAGGACTATTGATCCAAATAAATAACAAAGCCAGCAGACCTGACGGGATCCCTGCTGAAATCTGTAAAGAGGGTGGACCTGAGCTGATACAACAACTCCACCAGCTCATTGAAAAAGTGTGGACTGAGAAAATCACCCAACAAAAAAATAATAAAGCCAGCAGACCTGATGGAATCCCTGCAGAAATCTGTAAAGAGGGTGGACCTGTGCTGATACAACAACTCCACCAGCTCTTTGAAAAAGTGTGGACTGAGAAAATCACCCAACAAAAAAATAACGAAGCCAGCAGACCTGACGGGATCCCTGCTGAAATCTGTAAAGAGGGTGGACCTGAGATGATACAACAACTCCACCAGCTCATTGAAAAAGTGTGGATTGAGAAAATCACCCAACAAAAAAATAACAAAAAAGGGGGGAAAGAACAGACTGCGGAAACTATCGAGGTATCTCTCTTCTAACCTCCTTTGGGAAAATCCTCGTAAGAATCCTTACAAACCACTTTCTACCTGTCTCTGAAGACACTCTCCCAGAATCCCACATTTTTTCCATCTTCAGGCTCATTGCTCGAGGGTGCTTATAGCAACAAAAAGAAAGTCATGCACGGTTCTTACTCGCTATGTTCATAAAAAAAAATCCTGATGATTCAAGGATAATCTTTAGCTGTATATTTACTACAAGTTACAGGCTAGCTCTAGCAATGCCTAGCGACTAAACTAAAGTAAATGATTAGGCAAGTCAATTGTGAATTAAATACAAATAAAACCCATTTGTAATTAACTATCTTGGTGAGACCAGTAACCTAAGTATTCTTTGTGGTTTATTGTAAAATTCCTTTCAATGACACTTCAGATCAAGACTGATTTCTTCAAAGGTTTCTATAAAAGGACAAAGCTGGCATCAAAGCGACTTTTGATCAAGCGAAAAAGATCGGCCCCAAGTGGCCGGCCACAGGCTTTGGAATAATAAGTGAGCTTTCTGTGATGAGTGAAAATAAATTATGGCTTTGGGGTTTGAAGTGCAACTGGGTTAGGCTCCTCAAAGACATGCTTTCCGCAGCACAAAGAGTCAATTGAGGCATTATTTTCATTCAGAGGCAGTGTGCCCAGGTTCCTTTTCTTCTAGGAAAGCAACCCACGTTTGTCTTTGGAAAGAAAAATTCCCTTGTTGTTGTAAAAGGAAAAACCAGGACAAAAAAAAAAGTTACAGCGTGCTCCATTTTTTTAATGATGGAAGGAACATTTTCCTTGAGTAAAGGTTTACTTTCCAATCCACAAAAATTAAGTGCAGGCCTGTGGGATCCTTAAGGCTAAGGGAGAGGTAGCTACGGACGACGATCAAAGGAAGTTTCATCCATTTTCATCCGGCGGAAAACTTCGAAGAAACACCATGGCCGAAAGAGCAGGCCTCAGCAACTCTCGGGACTGTCCTCGTTCCCAGAAGACTCCAACTCCACGCTGGACAAGAACTTCCGCATGTGCTTCCTGCAATTGTAATCCAGTGTGGTGGTGTAGATGGTTGTGGTGTGCTTGGGGTAGATGATGGTGGTGCTGGTGAAACTCGTGGCTTTGTTGCGTGGCTGGAAGTGGACCTCGGCTTTGTAGTTGCGCCATGTGCTTTGAGGGACGCAGAAGACCGTCTGGCTACAAGCGGAAACCCCAAGCCCCATGGGCATATAAATATTATTAATGAAGTGCTTCTCCGAGTCGTATTTCACCGAAGAGGTGTACCTGGGGCAGAGGGACAGAAACAGGGGTGAAACTCAAATGGTTGACATCACTACTCAGAAAAAAACTAACCAGAGATGGTAGTAGGAAACTCAAGGACAATTCTCCTCCCAATCCAATTAGAGAGCATAGATTTCCCTTCCAGGTCTGTTTAAGTTAACATTTGGGGTTTACATTCCAGCGGGGAAGCATGTGGGGAATGCGGAAGTGCTTCATCAGCGTCGCAGCTGGACGATGAAAGCGACAGCTCCCCTGGCGGCCAGAAAAAGTTAAATAGCTTCTGTGTATGTCTGTATATGTTGTACGTCAAAATTGGCATTGAATGTTTGCCATATATGTGTACACTGTAATCCGCCCTGAGAACCCTGCGGGGTGAGAAGGGCGGAATATAAAAGCTGTAAATAAATACATACATACATACATACATACATACATACATACATACTAGGGCTGGGCGGTTTCGTTTCGTTAATTCGTAATTCGTTAATAATTCGTTAATTT